TTAAAAGGCATCAAGTTGCTTTAATTAACATTCTGACAATGGTAACACAATTCAATATATCAAACTTAAAACATTACATGCTGTAACTGACAAACAGTTGAAATTCTATAACAAAACTAACAAATTCAGACTCTAAAACTGCCTACAAATCACTTTTTTTCTTCTTTCTAATCTTTAGATTTCCTGTACTATTTATAACAAATTCTAATTTGATTCTGAAATCATCAAGAATATTCCAAAGAAACAGTTTCCAATGTCATATGTTACAACTTATGAAAAACACTTCTTACAAAATGACACTGTTACTACTTTGAAAAAGTAGAAAAAAAACATTTACACAACAATACCGGCAACATATAGTGGGAATAACTGAAACATGGTTAAACATATGATTTTGATGACAGAAATTTCTTTGAAATACAGGGTTACAGGCTATTCAATAGGGTTAGAGTTCTAAAGAGGGGGGGGGGGCAAGTGGCTTTGTATGTAAAATGTGAAATACATCCAGTTGAAGTTGAGGATATCAAAGATAATTGCAAGGAGATTGAAACCTTTTGGGTTTCTATTAGTGGATATAGAGAGAAAAGGCTTTTAGTGGGAATTTGTTACATACCACCAAATGATACTGATGAAATTAATGAGAAACTTTACAATGAGATTAAGATTTCAGCTACTAATGAACTCATAATTATGGGTGATTTTAATTTCACGCATATAGACTGGGAAATGCTAGAGACAAACTGTGAGAGAGAAAGGTTTTTGGAAACTGTTCAAGATGACTTTCTTAATCAATTAGTCAAGGAACCAGCTAGAAACAATGCTCTTTTAGATTTATTGTTAACTTCAAATACAGAAATGATTCAGAGGGTGGAAACTGTGGAACATCTGGGTGCAAGTGATTATTGCTCTATTAGGTTCAATGTTTTGCTGCATATGGAGATAAGGAATAATGCTATTTTGGTTACAAATTTCAAAAAATAAAATTTTGAAGGGATGCAACAATTATCTGTTGTGAATTGGAAAGTTGTGTTATTTGGACACATTGATCACATGTGGAAAATATATAAATATTCAAGGTAAACGTAAAGGATAGCTGCAAGTAAAAAATGGCTCACAATGAAATAAAATTAAATAAAAGCATCATAACTTTAAATTGACTGGTATGACAGGAGCTTTAGAAGATTGTAGAAGATCAAGAAAGTTTGTGAAACAGGAAATTCGAAAATCAAAAAGGATGTATGAGAAAAGGTTGATTGAAAATGCAATAATTAACAGTAACGATTTTTTTAAATACATTAAGGGTAAACAAAATGTTAGGATGAGGGGTAGGACCCTTGAGGGATGATGAAGGAAGGCTCATATGTTATGATTATGAAATGGCCGAGTTATTAAATTTTGTTTTTTCTTCAGTTTTTACTAATGAAGATTTAAACAGAATTTTACATCTTGAGCAGTTGATAGATGGAAACAAGATCGAATTAGATGACTGCATTAATTCTGAGCTGGTTAAGAAAAAATTGAGAAGTTTAAAGAACAATAAGGCTCCTGGGCCATATAATATTTCCCCAATGGTTTTGAAGGAGGTTAAAGATTGGATATGTGAGCCACTTGCTACTATCTTTTGTCAGTTCTTGAATAGTGTGGAGGTACCAGAGGGGTGCAAGTTAGCTAATGTAACTCCTCTTTTCAAGGGAGGTGATAAAAATTGTCCCAGTAATTATAGACCCATTAGTCTTACATCAGTTGTTGGAAAAGTTTTGGAAAGTCTGATAAAAGTTGCTTTCCAAAGTCATTTAACAAAGTTTAGAATTTCATTGGATAGTCAATATGGTTTCACTAAGGGAAAATCTTGCCTTACAAATCTTTTAACATTCTTTGAAAAGTTACTGCTTATGTAGATGAAGGTAAGGGTGTAGATTTGGTGTATCTGGATTTTCAGAAAACATTTAACAAGATGCCATATAAAAAAACTTGTAAAAAATATTATCTCTATAGGTGTGGGGGATAAGTTAGTAAATTGGATAGAAAAGTGATGGTATGAAAGAAAGCAGAGGGTTGTTACAAATGGAGTTCAGTCAAACGGAATTAATGTCACAAGTGGGGTACCTCAGGAGTCAGTTTTAGGACCTTTCCTCTTTTTGATTTACATCAGTGACATACGTGAAAGAATAGTCAATAAATTACTTAAATTTGCAGATGATATTAAGGTCTTGGGTGTTGCTAGCTGTGAAAAGGATGCTGCTGATTTACAAAAGGATTTAGATCATTTAGTGAGTTGGGCAAATAAATAGCAAATGGGTTTTAATTATAATAAGTGCAAGATAATACATGTGGGTTATCATAATTTGGATTGGAATAACTTTAACAGTGTCATGAAAGAAAGAGATCTTGGTGTAATAGTTGATCAGTCTCTAAAAGCCATCCAATCAATGTGCTGTTGCTAGTGGTAGGGCAAATAGGATTTAAGGTTGTATCTACTGGAATATTGAATACAAGTCTAAAGAGGTTATAATTTCCTTGCATAGGTCACTGGTTAGGCCAAATTTGGAATATTGTATTTAGTCTTGGACTCCTTACCTTAGGAAAGACATTGAAT